GTATGCCTGGGGTTGCGGACTCGATCCCCAGTAGGGGGCACGCAGAAGGAAGCCAATTGATGTTTCTATCTCTCCTCCCTTCTTCTCTCTCTAAAATCAACATATTTAAAAGAAAGAAAAAAAGAAAAGCCACTCACTTATGTATTAAGCTAATCTGAAACCTTGGTAATGCATTAAATTAGCTCTTAGAAAGCGGGCTTCTTTCCCTTACAGCTGTATAAATAGCTAAAGTTTATATTGCATTTACTATGTGTCAGGCAACCTAAATGTTTTATTACTCATTTTATGTATATTTTAGTATCATTTTATGTATGCTAACCTAAAATACAAAAATGTTCTTAAGAACCTAAAATATTTGAATAGTTAAGAGAAGACAAAGAATAAATACATTTTCATTCGATGCGTTATTTTTAAGGTAACTTATAAACCAACTTCTTAAAAATGATAAAATATCAATGTAATTTATGAAAAATTTTTTTCATTTGTTAAGATTTTTGTTATTAGAAATATAACTTTAGTTCTGGCTGATGTGGCTCAGTTAGCTGAAGCCTAATCCCATACACCAAAAGGTGGCGGGTTCAACTCCAGGCCAGGGCACATACAAAGGAGTTTGAGTGGCACAATTCAGAGAAGGAAGCAATTTGAGCAGGATTTGGACAGGCAGAAAAGAGGGGGAGCACGGAGAACAAGACAAGGCAGGGCATCAGAGGATGGGAAAGTCAACATAATTGTAGGGGAGTAAAGGAAAATTAACTGGACTAGAAAGCAGGCAGAATATCAGGGTAACTGCAGAAAAAACAAAAGATATCAGAACTAAGCCTGGAAGCAAGGCTAGAATTTGTACTTGAATAAATGACTAGGGGAAAAGGCACTGTAAGTTCTGAAAACAGGAGACTAGAGCAATAATGTTCAGTTTTAATGAGGCTGCATATTATTTTATAACAGAATATGTATAAAATACATAAAATGGAAGAGAGAACTTGCCGAAAGGCAGACCAGTTAAGAAAACACTAAAAACAATGAATGTGTAAGGTAATATGAATGATGGCACTAGGAACAGAAAAGAAAAAGTTATTCCAAGGGTCATTCTGAAGAAAAAAGTATAGGGTTTTGTGGGAAACAAAATAAAAAGGTCAAAATAGAGAAGAACCAAAAATTATTTCCAAGTTTCTTGCTTAGGAAACTGATCAATTAGTGATAGACCAAAAGAAACAGGATAGTTGAAAAATAAATCCGTACTCTGAGTAAAGGAGAGATTTTTCATTAATATTGCATGCATTTAAGTATCACATCAAAAGGTAAATCTTTCCTATTCCACAAAGTCTTCAAGGTAGTGAACAAAGAGCATTTTTTCTAGTGTAAAATATATAAAATAAATATATCAGAAGTGTTTTCAGTTTCACTTCCAAAGAAAACCTGACATGACACATAAAGACATCTGATGAGACGTTTCTATTATTCTAAATAGTGCTGGGGGAAAATTACCTAAAAAGGCAATGAAACAAAGATTAGTGGTGAAATTTTTGAATAAAAAATGATATTTTATTATATTCATAACAAAAGTTTCTACCTACTCCATTTAGTCATCAAAACTGTGATTTTAAATATAGGAATACCTAGTTACATTTCTTAGTTATTTCATCGTCTTTAAGCAAGTATACTGTCAGCTGACAAAAAGGAAGAGCAGTATCCATGGCTAACAGTAGACCAAGCGTAGAACAGCAGAGGAGCATAAAATGGAAACACAAAAGTAAAACGTTACTGGTAAACTCTTTCCTCACCTTTGAAGAATTGTCTTTACGACCTGTGATCAAACCACTCAAAAAGCTGAGGTAGATTATGAGACAGAGCATTCAATGTGTTGAAAGAAAATATGCCAAGGTTTGATTTTATAAATTTGACATTAAAATTTTCACATGCATGAAACCAGCCTATAATTTTCCTTCCTTACACTCTGTTTTTGAAATCAAGGTTATATTACTGGCCTCATATAATAAATTGGAGGAAATAATCCAACTTTTTTTGTTCTCTGGGTTTATAGATTAAAATTACCTATGTCTTTAATGTTTGGCAGAACTCATTCTGAAAACTGTATCAAGTGTTTTCCTAGTAGGAAAACTTTTGATTACTGACCAATTTCTTTAAGAGTTAAAGGACTATTCAGATTTTTTATTCTTTTTTTCAATCAGTGTGGTAAACCACACATTCAAGATTCATGTGCATGATAAAGCTTGAAGAACAGTACCTCAGAATACTCACTCCTATCATATCCAAAATCATATGCTACTTTTGTCCAATATTTCAGTTTGCTTTTTTAAACCCCACAATTTTGACATTATGGCCATGGTTTTACACAGACAATATTGTTTAGATTTTCTTTGCTCACCAATCATTTTTGCAACTCAGAAACTCTCCCAAGATCGCTTTTCTTCTCCCTAGATCTTAGAAATTTCTTTAGTGAGGACCTACTGGTAAAAAACACACTCAGCTTTTACATGTCTGAAAATGTCTATTTTGCTCATTTCTGGAAAATAGTTTTGTTGGGTATATAATTCTAAATTGACAGTTACTTTGTCTGGGCATTTTGGAGATATTCTTTCACTCTCCTATGGCCTTCATGGTCATTGTTGAAAAGGTCATTTGTTAACCTAATTGTTCCTTCATAAATAAGTCTTCTCTCTGGCTGTGTTTAGGGTATTTGTCTATCTCTGGTGTTCATCAGTTCTCTATGATGTATCTATACAAGAATTTCTTTAGCCCTGGCTGGGTAGCTCAGTTGGTTGGAGCGTCATCCCATACACCAAAAGGTTGAGGGTTCGCTTCCTAGTCAGTGCATATACCTAGATTGTGGGTTCGATCCCCAGTTGGGCTTGTATGGGAGGCAGCTAATGGATGTTTCCCTCTCATATCAATCTCTCTCTCTGTGTGTGTGTGTCTCTCTCTTTCTCTTGCTCTCTCTCTCTCTTCCTCTCCCTAAAATCAATAAAAACATATCCTCAGGTGAGGATTTAAAAAAAGAATTTCTTTATATTTGGGATTTTCTCTGTTTCCTAAATCTGCAAATTCACATGTTCAATCAATCCTAACAAATTTTCAGGTATTGTCTCTTTGGATAGTGCCTCTGGACTCTTTTAGATCTTTCTGAGATTCAGATTAGACAAACCAGAATCTTCTCTGTCTGTCCTCTATATCTTAATCTCTTTTGTAGACACCATCTATTTCTCCATTCTATATTCTGCATACTTTCCTCAAATCCATCTCCCAATTTGCTCTTTCTCTCTTTAACTATATCTCAGTTGCTAGTAAAACACCTACTAAGTTTATAATTTGAATTATTTTTTCACTTCTAGAAGTGCTATTGGTTCTTTTTCAAATCCGTCTGGTCATTTTTAAGCACGCCTTGTTCCTTAATATTACTGTCAAATCTCTCTTTAATTTTAAAACCATATAAACATGCCTAGCATATTTCACATCTAATAATTCCAATAGTCCCTGTGTGTCTAATTCTGCTATTTATTGTTTCCACTTCTTTCACTCATGGTGCCTTTCTTCTTCACAGTAAGATCATGTTTGTAACATTTTCTCTGGTACTTCTTTTCCTTTTTTTTTTTTTCTTTAAATATATCTTTATTGATTTCAGAGAAAGGAAAGGAGAGGGAGAGAGAGAGATGGAAACATCAATGATGAGAGACTCATTGACTGGCTGCCTCCCGCACACCCCCGACTGGGGACTGAGCCCGCAACCCGGGCATGTGCCCTGACTGGGAATCGAACCCTGATCGCCTGGATTCTAGGTCGAAGCTCATCTGCTGAGCCATGCCCAGTCGGGTTCTTTGGTACTTCTTGAAGCTAAATTTTAGTGGGGAAGAAAAATGGTCTGTCCTCTGGGGTTCTCTCCCCTTCCAGGGAAGGATACAATAGGCCTACTGAGGATGCAAAAAGAGAGGTAAAGTCCTGCTTTCACTTCCACCTGAAAGAAGGAAAATGAAGTAGCAAGTTCCCACAGCAGCAGTAACTGCAGAGCAGCACAGTCCAGGGGGAGGGCTGAAGAGACACGGTGTAGTCCTGACAAGCTACATGGGGGAAGAGGGGCAGTGCAAAATGAAAAATTGGGATGGCTTATTCATGAATTATTTAGAATTTCAGAACAGTAAATGCAGAGCATTAAACCAAACGTGGGGCTCTTTTAAATGTGGGGATCTTGGACACCCATGAGGCTCTGACTCTTAAGCAGCAAGAACAGTTGGTAGCAAAAATTCAAAAGACACAGAAAAGTATAAAGCAGAAAATCAATATCATCTAAAATCCCACCACCCAGGGACAACCACTGTTATAAATCTGGTGTATATACTAGAGATTTTTAATCTACATACATACACATATGTAAATATCGATTTACATAATTTTTTTATATTATGGAAATGGTATATTGTACATTCTCTTTGGTAGCCTTTTTGTGTGTGTGTAACTTATTACATTATGACAGATTTCAAAAAAGTTAATAAATACAGATCGTTTCAGTCCTATGCTATGGATTATAGAACATACAGATCCACGTTCTATTTAATCAAACTCGTATTGTTAGGCTTCTGAAGGGCCTTTAGCTTTTCATTATTCAAAATGATCACTGAGTATCAATAAAGTTGAGTAAGGATTGAATGAGTCAATCAGTATAAAGCACTTAATGGAGTACTTGGCAAGTAACAAGTTCTCTACAAATGTTAGTGATTTCTTTAATATTGTCTCCTATGTAAACACTGAATTAATTTACATTCCCAAAAGCACGGTAAAAGAGATTGATTTTTCTAAATCCTTGCTAATTCTTTCAAATTCTGCCTTTTGTATTTCTTCTATGAATCACTTGTTCATGTTCTTTGACAGTTCTGTTGGATTCTTTATGCTTTTTAAATTTTAGCTGATTTCTATACTGGGAACATCAATCCTTTGTCATAAGAATAACAAGTACTTTTTTTCCCAAAAAGAATTAACTCAAGACTTACCTCCAGTTCCTAGGACCTTCAGAAGCTCAAAATTTTCAATCCCCACCTTCTCTGCATGTCCTGTTAAATTTGCTAAAAAACAAAGAGAAAAAAAGAAATAATTAAGGGGATCAACAACAGGAGGGGGCCCCACTGGAGCTTCTGAGATACCAGCAATGTTTTATTTCTTGCCTTAAGTGGTTAAGCCAATGTTCACCTTATAATTAACTTTTAAAGTGTACAGCTATATGTATGCTATACATTATAATAAATCTTTTTATTGTAAATCCTCATCTGAGGATATTTTTTCCCACTGATTTTTAGAGAGAGTGGGAGAGAGGGAGGGAGGGAGGGAGGTAGGGAGAGAGAAAAACATCAATACGTTGTATCACTTATTTATGGGTTCACTGGTTAATCCTTGCATGTGCCCTAACCAGAGACTGAGTCCACAACCTTGGCGCACCGGGACGACGCTCTGCCAGGGCTTATTATTTATTTTTTAATTTACCTTTTCTGTTGTTTGTTTCCATGTTCTTACGTTCCTGATTTTTAAAAATATCATCTGAATGCTTTTTAGAATTTCATTTCAGTTTTCACAGTGGCATTTTAGCTCTACTTTTTTGCATTATTAGTGTAGTTGCCGCTCGAAGGATTACAACATATGTTTCTAACTATTCACAGTCCTCTTATAGTTAATACGGTATCATTTTACTTAAAATATAGAAGCCTCACAATCACTCTTTAAGGAACAGTTGTCATATATTATACGGGATGAGAATATTTCCTATATGTTACACACTGCACAAGACAATGTCACAAGTTCTGCTTATGTGACACAATATATTAAAAAAAAATAAGAGGAAAGATGGAGACTTGCATTTTTGCAGATAGTTAGCATTTTCTGGTGATCTCTCTCTTCCAAGAATACCATCTGGTATCACTTTTCCTCAACCCTGAACAACTTCATTTGATATTTCTTGTAGTGCAGAAACCTCTGTGTTTACTTTGATCTGAAAAAAAAATTTTTATCCTTCATTTTAAAAAATTTTATTGAGATGTAATTCACATACCATTTAATTCACCCTTTTAAGGTATATAATCCAGTGATTGTTTTTTTTAGTATATTCCCAAGGTTGTGCCATCCTCATCACTATCTAATTCTGGAATCATCCCCATCTTGAAGGATATTTTCTTTTAATATAGAATTCTGAATTGACAGGCTTTTTTCTTTTCTTCCAGCACTTTAAACATGTTCTTCCATTCACTTCTGGTGTCCATAGTTTCTGGGGTGAAATCACTCATTAAATGGATCCTTGTTTCTCTGTTTGAAAAGTGTCATTTCTCTTTCTATTTTCAACATTTGCTCTTTATCTTTGGCTTTCAACAGTTTTGCTGTGATGTAACTTGATATGAACTACTTTGGGTTCATTCAGTCTGATATTTACTGGATATCTTTATATCTGTACATTTCTGGTTTTCATCAAATATAGGGAACGTTTGCCTTAATTTTTCAAAAGTTGTTTTCTATCCTATTCTGTCTCTCTTCTCCTTCTGAAGTTCCAACTACATATACGTTGGACTGTCTGATATTACCTAAGAGGTCCCTGGGACTCTCTATTTATTTTTTCCCAGTGTGTTTTCTCTATTCTTCACATTAATTTCTATTGCTCTATCTTCAAGTTCAGTTACTTTTCCTTTAACATTTCTATTCAACTGTTAAATCCATGCAGTGAATTTTTTATTTCAAATATTGTATTTTCATTTCTAAAACTTCCATTTGATTCTTTTTCATTGTTTCTATTTATCTGGTAAGATATCTTTTTTTCACTCACTGAGAGCATATTGTTTTACTTCATTGAAGGTCTTGTAACAGCTGCTTTAAAATTCTTGTCTCTTATTGCCAATGTCTCATTTGTTCCAGGGTAGGGCTCAGTTTATATTCTTTCCTCTTGATATATGTTCCATTTTCATAATTCTTCCTATGTAGGGTAATTTTAGGTTGTACCCATAACATTATACATGTTTATTTGTGAAAACTCTAGATTATTATTTTTTCTCCAATGAGAGCTGGGTTTTCTGTTTGTTTGTTTTAGCAGGCAGATATCTTGGTTTGGCTCCTGTTTCTTAGGAGGCAGCTCTAGCCCAATTCAGATTTTTTGTCTTTAGCTGGGCTGTTCTAAGCCTGCTGTCTTCACGCTTAACTCAGAGGTCACTCACAGATGTGTATACATAATATTTGAGGACTCTCCCTTCTCTAGCTCGTCACCTTCTGGGATTCCTCCACTACCCTCAGTGATCAAGGTTGGCTGATTTCAGTTTTCTAGTTTCCCTGGCCAGAGAGACTATTGTTTTTCCACCCGAGTTCCCAGAGTATGGACTGTACTTAGCCTGAAGCTAAAATCAGTGAAAAGGCAAAGTTATTTCCTATAGCTCCCTTTCTCCAGCTGTGTACTACCCATTAGAGCCTACCTGCCTCTGTTTACTCTCAAGTGCCTTTAATAGTTGGTTTTTGTATTAAATCCAGGTTTTACAGTTGTTTTTTTGCAAAGAAGTTCTCTGGTAGGGGCTCTTATTCTGGCATTATAAGAAGCAAAAGTCTTCCTACAATCAACAATAGTAGTTTCTGCTTTAACTTCAACTACTGCAATAGCAACTTAACTTCAAAGAGTAAAATAAAATTAAAAAGGTGTGTGATATAGGTCCATCTCAGGGATCTTGAACTTGATATCCATATGATTATTTCTTTTACATTACATCTGTTACACAAAGTAAGTGTTCACACATATAGAAATAAATCAATAGGTAGCGCTATTATATTTAGGCATGAGAATATTAATTATAAAGTTTTTTCATTGTATTAAAGACAAAACACATAAAATAAATGTTTAACATGATACTATATAAAATCCCAAGCAATAGCAAACACATAGTCAAGCATGTGAGTGTAGGTGTCCAAATGGTTCTCGTTTCTATGCTATTATTTGCCATTGTAATTAGAAGGCTTTGAGCATGAAAGTCTAAAAATAAACCACATTTCTCTTCATTAAACTGTTAACCTAAGATCAAGAGCTTAGACTTCCCAGCAACAATACTAATGTTTATTAGAACAAGACTTAAAATATTTACATAATTTCACACTACAGGCGAAATAAACATCAGCCAATTACAGAAATCTTCTGCATGTCTGAGTCATTCCATGCTTTAGGAAAGTCCAAAATAGTATTCTGATCATATGCTGTGGAGTTACCTGCATGCCTGGATCCTGTACTATACTGAGAGAGAGAACCGTCCGCTGTCTTTCTTCACATGAAAGTGAATGGTATTTTATTGTGGTTGTAGGAGCTCCTTTTCTTCTGCCAGGTATGCCTCTGCCCATCCCTTGCCTAGTTCTCCCCAAAGGTAAGAGAGGTTACTAATCTAAGTATTCAAGAGTCCAAAATTCTGACTGGGCACAGCTAGCAGTAGGTAGAGTCCACACAAGGTCTGTTCTTTTGCCTCAGATTTCTGGCCTAGCCTGACCCCCTGGGGCTGAATGGCCATTCTCTTGTGCTTCTCCACTATATAATACAGTAGTTAGTTAACTAAATAGATTCAGAGGTTCTTTGGGCACTTGGTGTTCACTCACTAGTTTGCTCTCCCCTCTAACCTTCTAACTCACACACCTCAACAGGTGGTCCCAAGACTCTACTCAGATGGGGTTGGGAGGGAAGTAGGAGTTCTCACTTAGGTCTTAAGCCTAAATCGCATGCACCAATGCCACTTAAATTTAAGAAGAGTTCTACACTGGTATGCTGGAAGTTGGCACAGCTTTCATTAATGTGGTACTTTGAGTCTCACTGGCAACTGTTTCATGCAGACAGTTCTATCATGACTCCTGGGGGATAAGAATAGATTGGCTGGGCAGAGTTTGGGCATTTCTGGATTTCTGTCCATAACAGCTTGATGGCACCAAAACCACACCCTTAGCACCTATATCCCAACTAAAAAGATTTACTCTTTCCCATAAAAACAATGCCTAATGAAAACTCTTCACAAATGTGTAAAATAACAGAATATCAACAAACTTAAAAAACTTAGACTATACTAGTTAGTTGGGTGCATAACAGTATGACCATATTCGTTGTTTATATGTGACATCTATTTTGATGTCCATACCATATGAGTTGTTAAATATTAGTAAACTTGGACTAAAACAAATATTTTTAAACTTTTCAAGGTCTACTTTAGGTTTATCTCTTATTGTTAATCTGCTTAGACAGTCTCCTTTCATGAAAAGAATTTACAGCTTTTTTACATTAATGCATTACTAAGTTTACTCATTTAGAAAAGATAGGTGTGAACAGTTTTAATGCTTTCACAAAGCAATTTTAACCAATCTTTTTCTTATTAAAATATTAGGAACTATCCCATTGAAAATCCTTCACTTCTTGATTCGTGTTATTCTATAATGCATACTTTCTGGTTAGGAAATCACTTTTAAGACTGAACTTAAGCCCTTTACAAGAAGTCAATGGATTTTTGTTAAAAAGACTGTCAAAACTCAAACAAATTTCAATATTTAAATGATTCCCTTTAGAAAAGTCTGAATTATTAACAGTAGGAAAGAAAAAATCTTGTATTATCAATGAATATAAAATACTTGGTTCCTTACAACTATAACTAGATTCCTTCAACTCCTTATATAATATTAATAGGGTTATCTGCAATGTGGGAAAATATGACTGGTGTAATTTTTTAAATAATAAATTTAGCCTAACAGGATAATTGTCTTTTCTCCCAAATTTAAATAGTTTTGTTGTTTGTATTATTATTATTAATATTAATATTAATATAAAATAATCTAGGTTCATGTTTTTTAAAAAAATAGACAATATAAATAGGCATAAAGTAGACCTAGGAAATCTCCCATATTCCCACCACTCAAAGATAGTTATTATTAATCCTTAGCACATTCTTCTGGAATCTTAACCATAAACCTATGATTGATAAATGGCTTCTCATTCAACNTAATATAAAATAATCTAGGTTCATGTTTTTTTAAAAAATAGACAATATAAATAGGCATAAAGTAGACCTAGGAAATCTCCCATATT